TTAGGGAAGTACACCGCAAGTGCCCTTCTCACCCTATACCTAGAGAGAGGGGCGTGTACTACTAACATGAATTACCACTGATGATGTTAATTATGATTCCTTGATTAAGGTGGTATCTGCTAGGTTTCTCTAATGTAAAGATAGTATTTATTCCTTTCCAGAACACATGTGTACACACACGACAGATTTATTACATTTTGCTTTAGAAAAGATTGGAATCTTGCCAAAGATACTAGCTCATCAGAGCGGACTTTATTGAAGACATCAGAGTACCTTGGAAAATACTTCTCACAGTACTATCATAGTTCTTCCAGCAACCCTAGGGATATCTTATTATATTGATAAAGTAATTAGTCCAATCAGATACAGTCAGTCTTAAATTTGATGAGCAGCAACAGATATTTAGTATGAACATAAAGTCATTAGTCCATTACAAACCAATCATGTCCAATACTGATAATCAGTAGATATAAATAGTCTAAAACTCTCCAAGATCAGCAGGTAGGTCTGACCCAGACACCTTTCAAATTACTACTTCTCCCCTGGGTGCCTTTAAGAATGGAGTCTCTATCTCCCCACTTGGTCCTTTTGGTCTCCTGAAAGTAAGCCCCACTGGCTGTTGAAGCCAAAAATCCTGAGGGCTCATCTTCTGGGCACAGGATCCCCGCGATAGAGAGCCCGATGTGGGGCTCAGACCCCTTGCTCCTTGGGGAGAACCTCTGTAGTTGTAATTATTCTCCCATTTGTGGGTCGCCAACCTGGGGGTAAGAGTCTTGACTATACCGTGACTCCGCCCCTCCTACCCATCTTGTTATGGTTCCTTCTTTATGGCTTTATTGTACAAGATCTTTTCTGGTAGGTTTCAATCTATTTCTCTGATAGTTGTTCTGTAAATAGTTGTAATTTTGGTGTGCCCCTGAGAGGAGGTGAACTCAAGGTCTTTCTACTCTGTCCTCTTGGGTTAATTGATCAATCCTACAGTCTTTATGTGATATTTAATTTGTAGTCATTAATATTTGTCTGTGTGTACAAAACTTACACATTTGCTCTTATTTATATAATACTCAGCATCCTGCAGCATTTGATTAAAAAACTGTTTACAAAAAAATAACAGTATAAATGGGCTAAAATGTATTGAGGTTTTAGCAAATAAAACTAGTATGAATTTAAATCTATACAATATACAGTTTGAAATTAACATCAACTTTTCTGCCCAAATTTTGTCCAACATAAAGTCTGTTTAAAACATCAGAAACTGAAGTAACTGATTCTATTGCCATATAATTCTAGGAAATACCCTAATCTGTATTTTAGGAGACCTATTATTCTTAGGGCCTTAAAATCTAGATTTCCTCCTGCTTCATCCTAAACAATGTACATCTTACATTTTTTGAAACTTGGAGCAATAGCTTTTAATGTTTTCCACTGAATTCCAGGGTTTAGATCTCAAACATGTATTACAGCATCAGAATATATATGTGCTCTTTGAAGATTCAGTCATATCGGATGGCATCCTGATAAATTTATTATTCATGACTCAGTCACAGATAAACAATGTGGCAACATAAAAGAAAAGCATTAAAAAGTCACAGGTATCAGAGAACCTTTTTGCAGAGGAATAAAAGTAGAGGAGGAGCAGGTTTAAAACAGATAAATAATAAATAAGGTAATTTAGGGAAATCTTTTCTTTTATAATTAACCTCATGTTCTAGACAGTTAACTCCTTTAGGATAATGACAGACCCTAATCCAAATTCTATAAAGTTCTAATACGTTACACAGTATGGTTCCTTAACATAGTAAATAGTACTTTAATTCAATTCATTTATACTAGAGTTAATATTTTAAAGTATATGCTAAAAAGATAAGATCTTACTACAAAATATAGACATTTTGAATACAAATTCATATTTATAATTTAATAAGTGGAAAACAAGAAATGTATGATAATTTTGTAAGATTTATTAGGTGGAGAAGTATCAAGGATTTTCTGACACAGTTTATGTGTATTTTAGGAAGAAAGTTGTAAAAGCCCTCATGATGATCTCACTTGAGGGTAGGAGAATGTGTGGAGGGGAATCTTTTATGATTTTCCTTTCCAATCTCTAATCTTGCTTTTCTCCTGCTATCATGTTAAACCAAAGACAATGTTGTGCTCCCAGGTTAAACATAAGGTCAGGTGGAAGCTCACAGATAGTCTCAGATTTAACATAACCATCTTCTGCAGTCTGAACAAGAGCTAATTTGGATGGTTTTGTTAGTAATGAATTCAGTTGACCTAACCATGCTTCTTCAAACACCAAGTAACCACACTGTTCTCTGTCGTAAAGCTCTTCAAACCATCTGCTGTTGGTTCACTGAAGTGTTAGCCATCTTCCCTGTGGACTGCCATACTTGGCCACCATCTTCTCCCCTTTGCCATCTAACTTCTATTTGTTTCTCATGTCTCAGCCTTCTCTAAAAAACCTCTCCCCTAACTGCATCATCTCCTGCTCTCCTGTGAGTTCCCCGAGCATCTCTTATACGCACAGTGCTACCGTACAATCGTGAACAAGACAGACCTGATCCCAGCCTAATGGGCTACACAGTCAAGCTGGGAAGAAAGGCCTTAAGCAAACAATTAGATATACACGATTAACACAATTATTAGCAGTGTTCAGAGTATCGTAAAGGAGAAAAGAGGGAGGCATAGAAATGTAGAGCCGCAGAGCCTAACCCAGAGCTATTGTGAAGGAAAGACCTCCTTGAGGACGCCAGGCTTACTCTGCCATCATGGCCTTGGCAAAGACAAGGAAAAATACAAAAAAAAAAAAATCAAAATATATTCACAACATTCTAGAGAGGGGGGCAACATATATACAAAAAACACCTTAAGGCGAAGGAGAGGAGGGAATCTGGCATATTTTGGGAACAAGGAGAAAGGGGGCTCAAGATGAGGCTGGAGAATGCACTGGACCCAAAACATGCCAACCATGGAGGTGCCCAGCTCCCATTCTCTCCACAAAGACCTCGCTACTGGGCTGAGGGGAGGGCAGCTGGCTATCCCGGCCCAGTGGCAACCCCTTCATGACACAGCACAGCCTGCCACCAGGGCCACGCACATCCCTGGCAGCCTCCAGCCTATGACTAAGCACGGTGGGAGCAGGAGTGTGCGACCCTTTCTGCCCAATGCAGGAGTCCTCTAATAGGTCCTCTCGCTCCAGGCCTCCACTGGCTCAGCCAAGACTTTGTCCAATTTGTTTCACAGATTATATACACCTGATTATCCTCTTCCCCCAGTTTGACGCTCTCTCTGGATTTTGGCCTTGTTGAGTTTGAGATACGATGGTTTGTTTTGAGATTCAACGACTAAATACTGTATTAGAGATACTATCAATTTGACACTACAAATGACACTCACATAATTTCATTCCCAGCTTTCAATACACTCAGTGGAAGTACTAGGAAAATTGAAACAGTTGTGAAGATTTACAATTTTTTTCTAAGAAACTCAACATCAGCTATGTCGGGATGAAGCAGATAACTCTCAATAGGTTGTCTTCTGTTTTCCTTAAACAAATATATTATTACCGCAATTGATTGCTGGAAGTAGCACATTAGGTATAGCTCAAGCTACAACGGAGATGAGAAATGTTCGTTCAATTACATTTATTGAGTTTGCAGAGTGAGCTACTTGTCAATTATAATAGTTAACAAGGTTTTCCTTCAAAGGGAGAAAAGGATCTACTGCCTCAACTTAATAAATATACATTAGAATAAACCTTTCATAACTTCTGCGAAGGAGTAAGTTCTTATTAGGGGTGCGTCTCCACTGCCTATGCCATCCCGCCACACATGTATTAGGCATGTAGTTGGACTGTATGAGACATGTGGATCGACCCCCCACTCCCTGCTCCAGTCCAAGACAATCAGGTTATTCTCATCATCCTTCGCCAAAACCAAGTGGTGGTTAATGGAGAGATTTCAGGACTTTGGTCTCATGACGGTGGGAAGTGATGACCCTGCCCCTCAATCCCTCTAGATGTAACGATGTAAAAAAAATTGCTACAAGCAGCCACTGCAGACAGTCAGGGAAACCAGACTGAAGAGAAAGCTTACACAGCAGAGCCAAGACAATGGAAGAAGCAGACATGAGATCTGACTGTGCTGTGTCTGAAGTCGGCCCTACCCTGTTCGATTACTGAGGAAAGGCTGAAACACGTCTCCTGTTACTTGTACTGTGGAAACCATCCTAATGTACAAAGGTGTTTTCCTAAGTTTAAAAATGACACATTGGATCATGCATCTCAGCTCACCTTCCTGCCCTTCCCAGGAAAATAATGGTCAATTGTCAGTCACTGCTTCAGGTTTAATTCCGTGGATCTTCATGGAATACAGACTTTAAAAAGTTTGCATATCATTTCAGCAAGTATCAAAAAAAATTGTAAAATATAAAAACATACAAATGTGTGCGTTAGCTAATTGATGTGATTATACACTTGGGTGCTAGGTGAAAATCACTATTGAACACCTTTAAGAGTCCACATGTGCAAAGCAGCAGACTCTTTTCTCATTTAAAAAAAAAGTCAGTAATATTTTATTTGTTTATATAAGAGTTTGCAACGTTGGCCAAATCTAGGCCATATTTGTTTGTTTGTCTTGCCTACGTAATATATAAACACACACAGCTCTTCAGAGCAACAACCAACCTGAGATAGAAAGCAGCTACTAGCTACTCCCTTTAGGCTGAGAATGAGCTGCCAGTTTTGTTTGCTTTGTACAAGGTCCACTTCACCCATTTGGGGACCTCATCACAGTAAGGTTCTGGAATCTGTGACCTCTGATTCAAGTGCACACGTTAATGTTTTGACAACTAAGTGCAGATTTATTCATATACTGGAAAAACCTGACAAGGGAACCCAGATAAGCAGCACAAAAGCAAATAATGATTTCAGATAAGTGAAAACAGGATTGTTCACTTCCTTGGTATAAGACTCTTCACCAAATAGGCGCCTATCTTACCTGTAGGTCTTTTCCTTCTATCTTATTTTGGAGCACTTCAAGGCACTTGGTAAAGTCAGTATGGTCCTGATCAGGAGTTGAAATAATTTCACATCCCTGTGTTAAATAAGATAAAAGGTAGGAATAAGTAATGATGTCAGCCTCGGAACAAGATCAAGAGCTATAAAAGTAAAGTATCAGACATATCCTGTCATGCCTGTATTATACGTTGATCATTAGAATCATTCTCATTATCTTTATTATTTCACATAACAGGATATCTCAGCAATGATGTTACACTATCACAATAACGATCTGATTACGACAATCATTTTACCCAAAAAAGTACAGGTTTTACTACATTAATGGTCTTTAAAAATCACTGCTGTGATGACATTCAAGATTAGCGTAAGGACTCAGGTACAAGTATTATAAAATATATTCACAGTGAAATTACCTGAAATTAAACTATTTCTAAAAAACTTTGAGTTTCTTCGAGCAGACTTCCTAAGTTTACCCACACGACAGAAAGACTAATACTGAGCTAATGATAAACTACATTTTAAGTAAAATCAAGTTAGATGTCCTATAAAATTCCTTTACAGCACCCTTTACAGCACCCTTTTTTCCTCATGTAAAAAGAAGCAGGAAGAGAGATGCCTGTGTAAATATGTCTCTTGGATTACCTTTTGGACATAATGAAGTGAGTTTATAAGTTCTTTGCCTTTTCTACAACAGATAACTAGTGAAAAACACTGAAAAATATTTATAAATAGAGTGCCACAAAAGTGCCAGCTTGTTGGCACTAGTGAACTGAGGTGGTGCAAGAAACGATATTTTTGAAATGACACCTTTCTCTCCAATGTCTTACAGAAGCAAAGGTATGTAAAACCAGAGCACGAGGGGACTTCCGACTTCTTAATTCAGGAATAAAACGATGCAAGGTCTCTGACAAACAGCTGAGTAAGTGAAAGTTAAATATAATCTAGTATATAAAGTTGCCATTCGAAGAGTTTTCAAGGAGAGAAAGCAAATTAACCAAATTAACTAACGGAGCAAATTAACCAAAGTGGAACAAATTGCGCGTGTGTGCGCACACACACACACACACACACACACACACGCACGCACGCACGCACGCACACACACACACACACGCAAAAATTCACGTCTGGCAAATCCTTGCCTATAGCTTTGGGACCACAGGATCTTCAGCAAGAGAAGACTCACTGCTCCTTGAGTACAGGGAAACTGACCACTGCGTTTCAGTTGCTAAGACAATACCAGCACATACCAAGCAGTCTACAGAAGTTTGATGGATAGATAAATGATGGATGGATTAAAACCATTTCTCTCCTCATGGGACTAATGCTACGTTTCTCTGAAATATTAATGTGGATAAATCAGACTATGAGTCTAACTCAGAAAAGCAACAATGACATTATTTTTTCAGGCATTATGCTACCTGCTGCCATTAGGAAACTATGTAACACTTATTTTAAAGTATGATTAATACAGATTCTTAAAATGGTGACAAATATTAGTGCTTCATATGCAACTATATAAACTAAAATTCAACAATACATTAATGTTAACCAAGTGAACATCCAATCAGGTAAAGTGAAATACAAATTTCACATTGAGGCTTAACAAATATAGCAGTATAAAGTACTACATAAATAATTCACAGTATTTTTTTAATGAGTCATTATTTCTCAATAGAAAGAAAAACGACAAGGAAACAAACTGATATCAGGAACTTAGTAAAATTTAGCAATCAACAGTTTTCAGAACATGTCCTGGAATGGTAATAGTTCAAATTAATTTCCAATAGTACCAGCATCTATAGCTATAACAAACACAAAAATATATTCTCATAATATATGATCCTAATCTCAGTAAACTCACAAGTCATCTAAAGAGCAAAGGTTTATGTTCAGTGTGGTATATTCTAAAAAGAAAAAAGGTTCAAGGAAGGGTTATGGTAAATACTCAGATTAACCAGATAATTTTATTATTAGCTTAGTTAACCAAATAATTTTATTATTAGTTAAATTATTAATAGTCTACCTTACAAATATTACAATATTTTATTAATGACCAAATAACTGTATTATTACATCTACCTTATGACTATTAAAATATTAATCAAAATATTAGCTTTAAGCTGTAAGCTCCATGAAGGTACCCACTATGTCCCTTTGCTCATTATTGCATCTGCATACAAGAACCCAACACAGGACACGGCAAGTAGCAAGCATTCAATAATGAATAAAGTCATTTATAAAAGCCTGAGATAAATTACCACTCTAGACCAGGCATCAGCAAAGTTTTTCTGTAAAGGGCCAGATAGTAATCCTTTTAGGCTTTGCAGGCCAAAGGGCCTCTGTCCCAACTACTCAGCTCTCCCTTTGTATCATGGAAACATCTACAGACAAAAAAAAATGAGTAGGAATGGCTGTGTTCCAAAAAAACTGAAATGTGAATTTCACGTAATTTTCACGTTATGAAATATTATTATTCTTTTGATTTTTTTCCAACCATTTAATACGGTAAAAACCATTCTTAGGTTGCCAGCTATACAAAAGCAGACAGCGGACGAGATTTGGCCTGTGGGCTGTAGTTTATCAACCAATCCCTGTTCCAAGCCCACAAATAGTTTTTCTGATTTTCATCACCAAACTCTGTACATGTTTGAGGAATTTAATATGAGGGAAAAGTTTCAGGCCTTTAAAAAAATCTCTGTGAACTCCCTTTTCCTTATCTGTAACGGACCTAGCAGGCAAACTAACAGTGCCGTTGAGATGCCCTGTATAATGCCCAGAATGCACCGGGCACAGAGACGAACACAAAGCAAATTCTCACCTCGGCACTTCCGAACAATCTCTAGAAACGTCGATGCTACAGTCACACCACCTCACATCAAAGGTCACTAGAGTAAGCGAAATATTGCTAATATTCCCCATAGAACCTTGTGTGGAGGCTTATAAAACTATTTTTGAATTCACTGACAACTTGTAAGAAATTATTACAAGACAATGAGTGTCATTAATCAACCTAATTTCAAAAGATCAATGCAAAAGCCGTTAGACTGTCATTCTCAATTAATTTTACTGTTTGCCAATAATTCAACTAAAATAGGTTAATGAGTTTTTATATTTAACACACGTAAAACCTATCAGGTTATATTATGCTGACTCCTTTAAAACTCCTTAATTAGAAAGGAAACAAATCCTTTGGAAAAAAAATTATAACAACATATCAATTGTTATTTCATGCACTCTATCCAGAGAGAGACTTGGCCTCCTTAAAACAAGAGGCAAGTCCAGTGAAAGCATTCCCAAACTTGCTATTAGCTTATTCATTTTAGGATAAGTCATTTAGTGCCATTTTAGGATAAGTCATTTAGTGAAAGGACTTGTGAAAATTATCCTGCAAAATTTTATGGGGCTCTGAGACTTCTACTGCAACTTTATGGACTGTGTTTATAAGGTTAAAAGTTTAGAAGTGTTATTTCCTTGTAGGTACCATGCACACCAATTCTGAACATTTATTTGGAGTGACTTGCATACAGCTTCTCACCTAACAGAATTAAATATGTCCGTAGCTACAAAATCTAAAATGCTTTTCAACAAACAGATTATTTTCCTAACAACATATAACTTAATTCTCTGAAAAATCAGATAACCTCAAAAGTATCTTAAAATTAGAATCTTAAAATTGTGGTCTGTTGATAATTAACTATCTTCCTCACTAAATCAATAACGATAATAAAAAGTAACAATTGAGTACACATCTTGTTATATGAGATATGAGTCACTTTATATGAATTATGTTCTTGAATCTCTAAGACAACCTTATAAGGTCAATGTAATTATCACATTTTAAGATGTGTAAACTGAAGTTTAGAGAGATTAAATAACCTGCCCAAAGTCACACAGCTGATTTAGGACATAGTATGTCATCTGAAGCCCAGACCCGTAACCTACCAATGCTTTGTACTCAACCCTGCTTAATTAAACTTTGGGTATTTTGGAAGGTTTAAGCAGAAAAACACCTTTATAATTTATACTGAACCTTTATTTAGTTGCTTTTCTCCCATTTTAAATACCTGAAAATCCTTTAGCTTTTAGACAGACATGACCCCTGCCTGACTCCATGCTGATTCCATTGTAGCCGAAGGCTTGGGACCCTCAGAGCACCCACAGACATCTGAAGTGGGCAGTGAGTGCTTAGCTATCCTTCTCATCCCTTTTCTCTGCTTTCCCAACTCATTATACTGTCACTATATTTATCATTTATATTCATGACATAATTCACTTTTTTTGGCTATTAAACGTATCATTCTGATCAATATCTCTGTATAGAAGTGTTTATTTCTGGTTATTTTCTTAGAATTGAATTCTTAAAATGAAATTACTGGGGAAATTATAAGAACATTTTTTTATAACCCCTGGTAGATGTTGCCAGAGTTTCCTGCCTTTCCAGGCAGGCTGTAAATATGAATATTCCTACTGGTGTATGAGGGTGAAAAAAAAATTTCTTCTTTTAAAATATAAGTAACAGTAGGAAAGTTAATTCATCATGAATTTCTTACTGTGAATTAATTTACTTGCTGTACTTCCTTCTTAATCACAAACAGATCAATTTCATTAAGGAAAAGATGACTTTCACTGGAGAGGAAGGGAAAAGAAAGTTAAGGCAATTTTGGAGTGTGAAGCAGGGTTGAGACTGGAAGTGGTTCACCCAACTGAGGACTAAGGAGCTAAAGGACAGTATGAAAGAAAGGGACACTTCTGGGAGGGGAAACAGGTGTCAATCAAGGGTAAAGAAAAGGAGGCAAGAAGATGTCAAAGACCACCTTTCAAGTTGGCTCTGAAAAGATGAAGTACAATTTATTATCCCATCACATTAGAATATTGGTACTTTTTTTAAGTAAGCAATGATAATAAGAGCTTTATGGGGTCTTAAAATTCTAGCTCCCACACACTTTATTTTCCCCTATCCATTGCTGAAGTAGCCTTTCTTCCTGTATGTTAGCATACATTTAAAAATATTTAGGGAGATATACTCAAGAGTCTTAAAAAAATTGAATACATTACACTTTTAATAATGAG